ACTTCTACTGACACCCTCTGAAGCGGGTGGCACACAGTTAGCTATCTTGTCAGTCACACTCTCTGCCTCCCGTAGCTATCTTGTCTGTCACACTCTCTGCCTCCTGTGACATCCCTGCCCCAGTTCTAACCCCGGAGGTCTCCCCACACTCTCCTCTTAGGGAACATCTCACATGTTCTCCCCAGGGGCAGAGCTGTGCTCTCTCCTCTCTGATCCACCTCCCTAGCGGGCCTCACCTGGCAGACCCTCCTACACCTGTCCTTGAGCCTGGAGCTCACATCTCCCACTTTCTTCTGCTGGGGGATGGCACCCGATCGCAGTCTGTCCCCCCCCTGCCCCCCGCAATTGTCCCATGCTCCCTGTGGCCTGACTCCCCTCACTTCACAGCAGACTGACTGCCAGACTTGACAAGCTCTGGTCATTTCCTGCTCCATCCTCTGCTAGTGCTCTGCACGGTTCACCCTCACCCCCTGGACCAATCTCCGGCGCGTGCCCACCCCATCTATCTCCAGCCCCAAGCCCCCTTTCTGGTCCCCAGGATGCTGTGGCTTGGGCATGATATCCGCCGGGCCTCACCTCACCTCTGCGCTCCACCGTGAAGTCCTGGTCGAGCTCGTAGTTGTGTCTGCACACCGTGTCCACCTCGGCCCGCCTTCGCTCCATGTAGTCCTTCTGCCGGTTCCAGGACTCGGCCCAGGGCCGGCCCAGCTCGGTCAGCGCGCGGAACTCGCCCACGTCGCTGTCGAAGCGCATGAACTCCTCGCGGTTGAAGACGCATCTCATTATGTGGCGCTGGGTCCCGTTAACCGCGTAGCACTCGTGCAGCGCCCGGAGCAGGTAATTCTCTGCAGAGAACAAGGTGGTGCTGACCTGGGACTGCAGGACCCGTGCCCCGCCCCATCCCACCGGAGAAACGGCCACCAACGCGCAGGTCCCGACTGTCCCTCCTCAATTTCCCACTTGGCTCTGGGTCTTCAAATACCAGGTTTTTTTATCTTGAGAATTTCATGTAAGCATACAATAAATTGAATGAACTGTGATCCTGTCCACCCCCCCTCCATAGCTCACTAAGTCCAGTTAGTGCTGCCCATGTGCGCATGGGTGTGTGGGGCCATCCACTGGAGCAGGGGAAACGGACCAATGGCCACATCATCAAAAAACAATGATTCGCCTCCCGCAGTCAGCACCTGACACTAGCTAGCTCCTCAGGGCTCTTTCCCAAGAGTGAGTTCTGAGACTTTGGGGGTCAGAGTCTTGTCTCTAAGCCTAGTTTCCTCACTGATGACAGGAGTATGTAAAGCATTCCCTGCTCAGGGGCGACTGGGGCAAAGTCCCTACAGTGTTGAAATTGCAGGGTTGGGGGAGTGGGGAGCCGGCACTGGGGTGTAGGGAGTAGACTGGGGAATGGGAACTGATAAGTAGGGATTGGGGACTGGGGTATTGCACTGAATTCTCTATCTGTGAGGATTCCTGCCTAATATATCGACCCTGGTCACAGTCAAATGTCACCTCCTCCAGGAAGCCTTCCCTTCCTTTCTCCTCTTCTCCATTACAGGGGCCTCTCCCTTGTGTGCTAATGCCATGGATACTCTTGTTTTGCATGCTGGAAATGTAGAAACAAATTTATAAATATAAGATACGGGGGTTGGAGAGATGGCTCAGCAGTTAAGAGCACTGGCTGTTCTTGCAGAGGACTCAGGTTCAATTACCAGCACCCACACGGTGCCTAACAACCATTTGTAACTCCAGTTTGAGGGGACTCCAACAGCTTCTTCTGACCTCTATGGGCATTGCATGACACAGGTGCACTTACATATATACAGGCAATACACTCATATGCATGAAAAACTAAAAATAAAATTAAGATACGAAATAAAGCCTCCTAGCCTGAAAGCGAATTGTTTTACTTTTCAAACATCAATGTAAGGAGACTTGGTCTCCAAATGTGTGAAGCGTATGTATGAAAATGAGGTGAAGAAGCCCATTACTTTGCATGTTAATTTAGAAATCCATTTGATCCAGACGGTTCACACCTTTAATACCAGCACAGAGGCAGAGACAGGCAGATCTCTGTCAGATCAAGGCCAGCCTGGTCGCCATAGCAAGTTCCAGACCAGCTGGGACAGACCCTGTTTCAAAAAAATATTAATTTGAAAGATGGTACTGGAGCCTGGAGAGGTGGCTCAGCGGTTTAGAGCACTTGCTGCTCTTGAAGAGGACTTGAGTTTGGTTCTCAGCACCCACACCAGTCAGGTCAGAACTGCTTATAACTCCAATGCCAGGAGTCTGATGCCCTCTTCCTGCCTCCATTGGCACTGCACGTATGTGGTGCACATATAGAGAAGCAGGCACACACACACATAAATAAAAACTCACCTGTAATCCCAGCACTGAGGAGGTAGAGGCAGGAGAATCGTTGCAAATTTGGGGACCACCTGAGCTATATAGTGCGATCTTATTTTTTTTGGGGGGGAAGGTCTTTTTGAGAGAGGGTCTCCCTGTAGCCCCAGCTGTCCTAGAACTCACTATGTAGACCAGGCTGGCCTGAAACTCACAGAGATCCACCTGCCTCTGCCTCCCGAGTGCTGGGATTAAAGGCGTGTGCCATCACACCTGGCTACAACCTTATTTTTTTTTTTAAAAAAAAAAGTAGACTGGGGCTGGAGAGATGGCGCAGTGGTTAAGAGCACTGGTTGCTCTTCCAGAGGACCTGGGTTGATTCCCAGCACCCATATGGCAGCTAACAACTGTCCATAACTCCAGTTCCAGGGGAATCCAATGCCCTCTTCTGACCTCCTCAGGCATTGCATGGTACGAGTGCACTTACACATATGCAGGCAATACACTCATACTCATAAAATAATAATAATAAATAAACCATTAATTTTTTTCGGTCTTTTTGAGACAGGGTCTCCCTGTAGCCCCAGCTGTCTAGACCAGGCTGGCCTCGAACTCTCAAAGATCTGCCTGCCTCTGCCTCCTGAGTGCTGGGATTACAGGCATGTACCTTTGTTATTTTTATGTGTATGGGTGTATTGCCTGCATGTTTAAGTGCGCCAGTATCGTGCAATGCTCACAGAGGTCAGAAGAGGGCTTTGGAGTCCCCTGGAACTGGAGTTACAGATGGTTTGTAGCCGCCATGTGAGTGCTGGGAATCGAACCCCGGTCCTCTGCAAGAGCAGTCAGTGCTCTCAACTGCTGAGCATCTCTCCAGGCCCAATAAACCATTTCTTAAAAAAGTAGACTGTACTTTAATCACTGAAAATCAGCACAACCACAGCTCCAGTGGACACTCCTGAGCCTAGAGATAATTACCATACAATTCTTATAAAAGACACACAGCAGCCCCTTCCCCTTCCCAGGAGCCACCAGCAGTGAGGCATGCACATATCTGCACAGTGGTGGTCTTAGTCATTTCTGTGTGCCCCGAGTGTCTTTGGATGACTCTGTTCTTACCCATATCAGGGAAGTTAAGATGGCGTGATTGTTTTTCCCATTTCACCCTCTATGAGTTAACATAAAAACAAAAATCTACTACTGTCTTATTTTCATGTCCTACAATTAGCTCTAGTAAAGTCCTCAGTGAATCTTCTTGATTAGCAAGTCCTCAGTAAACCAACAGACAAAAGGAGCCTTGTGCCTGGGCCACAAGGGGGAGCTAAGCAAGTTTAAGTGTTTTCTCAATAACAGTCAGGAGCTGGGATGCAGGTGGTGACAGACGCTTGTGAAGCCCCTGAGATCCACCTGCAGCACTGTAAATAGTAAACTAAACTAAACTAAGCTAAGCTAAGCTAAGCTAAGCTAAACTAAACCAATTAAAGTAAACTAAGCTAAACTAACTAAACTAAACTAACTAAACTAGACTGAACTAACTAAACTAACTAAACCAAACTAAGCTAAGCTAAGCTAAACTAAACTAAACTAACTAAACTAGACTAAACTAAACTAAACTAAACTAAACTAAACTATTTAGGGGCTGGAGAGATGGTTCGACAGTTAAGAGCACTGGCTGCTCTTTTAGGAGACCTGGGTTTGGTTCCCAGCATCTATATGGCAGCTAACAACCATCCATAACTCCAGTTCCAGGGGATCTGATGCCCTCTTCTGACCTCTGTGGGCACTGCAGGACATGGGTGCACTTACATATATGCAGGCAATACACTCATACACATAAAATAAAAATAAGTAAAATATTAAAAGAATAAACAATCTATTACTTCATTAAAAAAAAAAGATCCCAGAGTTTGGCCTGGTGATAGTGCCTGTAATTCCAGCACTTGGGAGACCAAGGCAGAGAGACTACAGAGAGTTGGAGGCCAGTCTGGGCTACAAAGTGAGACCTTGTCTCAAAAATTAAAAAGGAAAAAGGACACCAGAAGTTTGAATCCAATCAGTCACAGCTTCTGAGGCTGTATTTAGCACTGGTGAGGTTCCTGATTCACATAACATAGGATGCTCATTTATTATTATTATTATTAATTATTATTATTGTTATTATTATTGTTGTTGTTGTTTACCATGTCAGGAGGAGACTAAGAAGGACTGGGAGAGGAGCCTAGAGCCTTAGACGCTGCTCCACGGTTTGCTGTGGGGGCAGGATCTTCCTGTAGCCCAAGCTGGCCTGCTCTAAGTATTGGGGATCCCTCCTAAGGGGAGTAAACAAGGCTGGAGTTCCAGTAGCAGGAAGAGGTGTTGTGGGGATGATGGGATGTCTCCCTCTGTCACCACAGTGATGACAAGAACTGAAGATCACCTGGCCTACCTGAGGTCAGGAGCAGCTGTACAGCTGGTGGCTGAGGACAAAGGAAAAGGGGAGGGTCAGGCTGGCCTTAGGGGCACTGCAACAGCCTTGAGTCCACAGAGCCAGCACAAGGTCCACCTGGTTGCCTTGATCTTACAGAGATCCACCTGTTTCTGCCTCCCAAGTGCTGGGATTAAAGACATGTGCCACCATGCTCAGCTTGTGAACATAATCTGTGAAGCAGATATAGCTGACGTGTGGGGCCTCAGTCACCTGCTGCTGGCTGTCACTCAAGTGTCTCAGACATAGCCGCAGGCTCCTCCTTCCCCAGAGCATCCTTCTCTACCCCCAGGATTTTGGATGCATGGTTCCCACAGTCGGGCTGTCCCTATGGTTGTGTCTCACGGCCCTCAGTGTTTCTCCTTTCTCAGCAGCTGCACCTGATGTCATAAGAGAAAGCCGCTGGGGTTCGAGGGGCTGGACTCAGGAGGTTTAAATAGTTATTCCAGGAAAGACAAGGATGCAAAATGAGGGCAGTGTGTCCTAGGTCTGCCCTAGGAGAGGTGTGGAGTCTAAAAGGAGAAGACTCTACTAGGGAGACGGGCGTCAGTGGCAAACAGATGGCTTTTTTACAGTCCTTCCTCTCACAATGTTGGGCGTAAATTTGGATTAGAAATTTAAGATATTTCCTGAGAAACATGCGATTTCACAAACCATAATATTGTACAAGCCACAGGGAGGCAGCAGGAGGCAGAGGTCCTCCCCCAGCCACTCTCCGGGCTGCCTGGTCACTGCGCTGTTGTTCCTGTGCATCTGCACATCCTCATCTGGTTCTCCCCACAAATTTCAACTCGAAGGCTAGTGAGTCCTGAAGATGTTAGAAAAACCACCTTCAGGGGGCTAGAGGGATGGCTCAGTGGTTAAGAGCACTGACTGCTCTTGCTGAGGACCCCAGTTTGATTCCCAGCACCCACATGGCAGCTATGAACCATCCTTAACTCCGGTTCCAGGGGACTCCAAAGGCCTCTTCTGACGGCTAACAACCGTTTGTAACTCCAGTTCCAGGGAATCTGACACTCTCTTCTGACCTCCATGGGCACTGCACAACATGGGTGCACTTACATGCAGACAATACACTCATACACATAAAATAAAAATAATAAATAAAAACATTAAAAAAAGAATGCTGGATGTGGTACATGCCTTTAATCCCAGCACTCAGGAGGCAGAGGCAAGCTGATCTCTGTGAGTTCGAAGCCAGCCTGGTCTACATAGCGAGTTCCAGGCCAACTCTGGCTAAAGGGAGACCTGTCTCAAAAAGACCAAAAAAGAGAAAAAGCACCTTCAACAACGATGGGGTGGGATCAGAGCCACAGCCCATCTCTTCCTTTTTCTCTCTGCTCATCCCTGTCCAAGGACACAGGCTCATGCCCCACCCTGAGGAGGAGAAGGCACTCTCTCTGAATATGGAGTCAGTCAGCTGATCTGAGTCCCCTCAAGGCTGTGATACACATATAGGGAGCTGCGGGAGGCTGACCCTGATGACCTCTCTCTCTGGAAACCTTGTCCTGCAAACTTGTTCCAGACTTCTTGACCGACTGCCCACAGAATACAAGCATGTACTGTGGCACCTCAGCCCTGCCCACTGCATCTGTGTCCCTGGGAACAGAACAAGGGGGTGAGCTTGAGTCTCCAGCTGGGAATGACGTGTGACGTGAAGGAGCCCTCACTGGCTTTCTCAAAGGCTCATCTCAATAAGGAAAGGTGTTAGTAGTTGCTTCCTGAGCCTGTTCTTCCAGAAGTAGCCCCTCTGCTCTTACCTGGAGTGGTCCTGCCCTGGACCACAGGTTTGCTCAACACCATCACTAACACCATCAGAGCTGCTGTCCACAGGGTCACAGGGACCTGCAGGACCATTGTGGAGCTGGAAGAGGCTGGTGGGATGAGGAAAGGAGCAGCCAGGGGATGAAGGACTCATGGAATGAAGCTTTGGGATGACTATCAGGGACTATGACTGAAGTCATCTCCCATGACCCCAGAATTGGACAGACTCTGAGGAAAGAACCAATGGGCATCGAGCTCTCTATGAGTCATCACTCACTGAGCAGACTGTTAGTGGGAGAGGTCTGGTGAGGTAGTGCATGATGCAGGTGAGATGACAGAGGAGGATGGCAATGCTCACTGTAAGCAGTGGGGATACAGCTTGAGGTTTTGGGGGAGCCTGTGTTTTCTTTGCTCTGAACACACTCAGATACTCTGCCAGCCAATCTATGGGGACAATCATTCCTTCAACCCTGCCACCTCCCACAGACCCACAGGACACGGGATGGAGCTAGTGCCATGTTGGTGTGTAAAAAGTCATTCACTGAGCCGGGTGTGGTGGTGCACGCTTTTAATCCCAGCACTCGGGAGGCAGAGGCAGGCGGATCTCTGTGAGTTCAAGGCCAACCTGGTCTACATAGTGAGTTCCAGGACAGCTGGGGTTACAGGGAGACCCTGTCTCAAAAAGACCCAAAA